GGCAAATCTTGGAGGCCATCTTGAGGCCTAGTTCAATGGTGACTTGGACAGGATGAACACATTCATTTATGAGTTTAGTCATAAACAATTAGTTATTCCAAAATTCATTCAGTTCGTTTGGCTTGATAGAGAACTCTCTTAGACGTCAACTTAAGAACCAAAGGCTGGAAATCTTTGTAGAATATCTGGGAAACATTCAACTAGATCTGGACAGAGTTTTCTACTCAAATTTGACTGTTGATGGATCAACCACTCGAACACAAGTAAAAGGATTAAATATGGTGATCACTCCAACAATGTGGGATCAAGTTGCTAGTCTTAGAGATGAAGGTGTTAAGGTTTCCAAAGGCAATGTCTTATTGGAATATTTGATGAAGCCAAAAGAAGATGTTGTTTTGTTGTAGTTCATTAGTGTGTTTACATTATGTAGGTATAAGCATTTATCCTCTCCTCAAGCATGAGTTTCTTTTTTTCTCAAAGTTTTTTTTAATCAGTTAATATGTTCTTCAGTAAGGTTTTTTACTAATATATTTACAAAATAATCGATTAAATTCATTTAATCAGCTAAAGAATTTTTGTATTCATAGTTTTAATTTATATACTTTCAAAATAATCAATTAAAATCGCTTAAATATTTTTGTATCACAATTTTAATCGATTAAACCTTATTTTTATCCGTTAAAACGTCTTTGAAAAATATCTAGGATCTTTTTAATCGATTAAACCTTGTTTTTATTAGTTAAAACGTCTCTAAAAAATATTCAAAATTCTTTTAATCGATTCAATCTCGTTTTTATCAGTTAATATGTCTCTAAAAATATATCTAAAATTCTTTTAATTGATTAAACAACATTTTTATTAGTTAAAAAGTCTAAAAAAATTAACGAACCTTTTTAATTAATTAAAAAGCAATTTCATTAATTAAGTTGTTTTAATCGATTAAATTGTGAATTAATCAATTAAACATATTAGTTAGAAATATCTCCATATAAACAAATTTCTACCTATGTTTCAAAACACATTTTTTGATAAATCATTCAAAGCAATCTTTTGAGATCTTGTTCCAAGAGAGAATCACGTTTTATTCTTTTGAATTCTTTTGAAATCAATTTTTAGACTCTTTATTCTTATTTTTTAAGAAACCCATTATGTGATTGAATTTTTGTTTCTGCATATTTATTTGAGTGTTGTAGTTTCTTCAAGCATTTTGATTATTCATTCATTTCTTTATATTTTCGATATCTAGAATTGTGGACACTAATTTAAGCAACTGGAATTGTGATTGTTGTTATTGGTTAAAGAACTTAATTGTAGTTCTTAGTGTATATTGATTTTCTACTGTCTGTACTTGTAATCAATTTTATTTTGATTAGTGGAACTCAACTTGAATTGGTTGAGAACTAGATGTAGCCTAGTGGATTAGGTGAACCAATATAAATAATGTGTTCTTGTTCTTCTTTCATTTCATTCTTTTATTCAAGATTGTTTTTTTTTTATTCAAGTTAAGATTGGTTTCATTAAAACTTTGAAATTGGTAATCTGTAATAAAAAATTGTGAAAATCTTTGATTAAATCAATTTACCCCCTGCTTTATCTCAGTCAGTATTTCTAACATCTTTTTCATGATTTATTAATCTATCAGGGGTTAGAAAAATTTATTGAGTTAAATGGAAAGTTTTATCCAGATCTAATAAAAGTATTTTACTCCAACATGAAAATAATAAATGATGTTATACATTCTAGAGTAAAGGGAATAGATATAGAGCATTAGATGAGGAAATTTGGACCAATGTTGTGAGTTTTATTATAGGAGGAGAAAATGTCATACGGGGATTTAAGAATTTTAACAAATTAACTATTTTTAGATCTTGGCCTTAGGAATCCAAATGTAGCAAGGAACTATTCAATTTATAAAACTAGGGGAATGAAGAAATATGAGAAATTACTAACATTTGTTATTACCTAGATCCTTGTAGCAAGGGGAGTACTCATGCTCAAATGACTTCAGAAGATATGTATATACTACACATCCTTAAATGTAGGCTCCTAATTGATTGGCCTACAGTTGTGAGTGACAATATTAGGAAATCCTACAAGTTGTCCCTTTATCCTCTACCTTATTCTATTTTTCTCTCAAAGGTGTTTGAATATTTTGGTGTTAATCTGGATGGAGAATCCTTCACTATAATGAGTCATGGTAATGAAATTTGGAAATCTGCCCTTCACCATATGGGAATGGTGAAAAGGGATGTTGGATGGTTGTATAAAGATGAAGAGTTTGTAGATGAAGATGTTAAAGCAATCACTGAAAATATTCCTACTTCATCTACTGCTAGGAAAAATTTCTCTACCTTTAAACAAGTCATGTTAAAAATATTGGATAACATAGATACTTGATAGAAGGAAAAACATGAGGTTTATTGCTCCCGACTAGATAGTTTAGATGGTAAAGTATCATCCATTTTGAGAACACTATAGAGGGACCACAATGGCATTGAACTAGAGGAAAGTGGTAGTGTAGACGTTGAAGGCGACAAAGTGGAGCTCTCATATGATGACAAATGATTGTTGTTGTGGTTCTCTTTAATCTTATGTTATAACTTGTTTGAACAATCCATTTGATGGTTTGTAATATCTTATTTGGCATGTTGATTGACTAACTTGTTACCTTTTATAATTCTTTGAACCCTTTATAATTTGATCTATGAACATACGTACACTTAATTAGATTATATTGTTGTATTTCCACTTCATTTTAACCTTTTTTTAATAAAGTCCAAAGGGAGAGAAAAGTTTATTACAGGTGTATTAGTTGGTCATAATAAAAAAAAAAAGGAGAGATTGTTAATAATTTGGTATCTTTGATGAATTTGGTATATTTTTTATGATATCCAATAGGTAGTTGTATGTATTTAAAAATTGTAAAGTTAAATGATTAAATCAATTTTGAAATTCACTAAAAATAAATGATAATCAATTAATTTCAGATTAAAAATTGATAATGGATTGATACTCAATCAGTTATATAATTATGTTTTTTAAATACTACACCTAATTAATCGATTAAATTATTTCTTTAATTAATTGTGTAAATCAGTTAAAACAATTTTGACTTGTTGAATAGAAGAAAACTTTTACCAACAAGACTAACTTTTGAAAAACAATCAAAATTAAAAAAGAGAGATCATGTGAACATTGTATCAACGGCTGAGGTTGTGAGAATCGGGTTAAGATATTCTGACTACAAAAATATATTCTGACTACAAAAATATATGTACTGTATAATTTAAGTTTAGGTTATTTTATTCCTTTTTGGTTTTTTTTTTTTTTTTTTGGCTCTTGACTGTGAGAAAACCATGATTGTGAGGATAATATTTTCAAGATTTTTTTATCTTATTAAAAGGTTTATTTTTCAAAATCTACAAATTGTTCTTGGGTTTTTAGATTTTATAAATGAATATTTGTAATAAATTTTATAGATGAATATTTATAATCTAAATTTTAAAAATTTATAGTGAAAATTCAAATTAAGATTATTTTATAAAATTAAACTAGTATAAATTTGTATTTTTTTTTATCTTGATGTTTTAGAAAAATTGCAACACATTTTATATTTTATTTCAAGTAGATTAAAAAAAACCCACCATTTTTGTTTTGGAAAATTGAAAAGATCGTGACAAATCATATTTTGAAAAAAAAAATTTAAACCCAATTCACGTCTGGTAGGTTGTATTTTTTTCTGGAATAATTGTATATTTTTAGATGATTATAATTCTATTTTTATGATTATACTTTTTTTATTTAAGTTTATTTTTGGATAATTATAACCTGTATAGGATGACTATAGTTTTAATATGAACATTGTACAATGTTATTTAAATATTATATTTTTTAAAAAATAAATTTTTACAATTTTAGAATTACTTATAAATTATCATAATTGAAAAAAATAAAATTTAAATATGTAAAATATTACAAATTATTTTTATAATTTATATATATATATATATATATATATATATATATATTAATTTCAATGCAAGTTTTTATCAATGATATAAATTAATTATTTTATGATAAATTATATCATAGTTTTATTTTTATTTTTATTTATTTTACTTAAAATCAATAAAAAAATATTTCAATCAATATTTTTTTTATTCAATCATAGTCATTTTATTTTTTATAATTTTTTCAGGTATTGATCTTCAAATTTTTTTTCTTTTTCAAACTCAAAATAACTATTTTTCTTTTTACACTCCCTCAACCCACTCCTCATTCCAAATACAACCTTAATAAAATTTCTTTTCAAATAAACTTTTTCGCTTATAAAATTTGGATTTGAAACATTACCAAAGATTTAAAGCATTATATCCAGAAGAATGACATGCTAGGTTTATCATTACTCTAATTATTAATATTCTATATCTCATAAAAGTATAAAATGGTCAATGATCGCACGAACGAAGCCATCATTAAGCAGAGCCATCGCTTCTTTACTTTATTAGGGCCAAATCCCCCACAGAAAACAGTGTTCTTAGCCTTTATAAACCATTTTTTTTAGAAAACAACCCACTGATAACTATAATTATTAATATGATAATAAACTTTAAATTTATTATATATATTATTATATTATCAAAATAATAAAGTTGTAAGATAGATATTAAATAAAAATAGATTATCTTAGTAAAAAGGCTTTAGACACAAACAAACAAAACAAACACAGCTATCACACACCCAGATAAAAAAGGTAAGACACAAAGTAGAAAAATAAGTAAAAAGGAAATGGACATCACCGCCACACGAAAACCAACACTCTTGCAGCACCCACTTCTTCTTCCTCCGCTCCGAACCCCTTCACACTTCACCACCCTTTCACCCACCACCACCACCGTTGTTTTCCAATTCAGAAAACAATGTATTATATATTTTAAATAAAATAATTTCTATATATACTCGTAGCGTTACGAGTATATTATACGGCATACGCGCCAAAAATGGGTTGCACGGCATCGAAACTGGACAACGAGGAAACCGTGAGGCGCTGCAAGGAGCGGCGTCGTTTAATGAAATATGCCGTCTACGCCCGCCACCACCTCGCGGCAGCGCACTCCGACTACTGCCACTGCCTCCGCCTCACCGGCTCCGCACTCTACACCTTCGCCGCCGCCGAACCCCTCGCAGTCGCCGACGACACCCCTGCCGTTCTCCTCCACAAAACCACCAATAATCCCCAGCCACCACCACATCCTCCTCCCTCCGCTACCGCCTCAACAAGCCCTAGACTCCCTCGCATAGTGACCTCCATTGTCACGCGCCGCCGTCAACCGCCTTCGAGACTCCCTCACGTTCTCTCCGAATCGAGCCTCTGTTCCTCGCCCCGAAGCGAGCATTCGAACTGTTTCGCAACCGCTCCACAACAAGCTCAATCCACACCTACTTCGCAGCCACCAGATCCTCCTCCTCCCGGTGCCACCCGCCGCCGCAAACCGCCGCCGAAGCTCCCTCACATACTCTCCGAATCAAGCCTCTTCTCCTCGCCTCGAAGCGAATACTCGAATTTCTTCGCCACCGCGCACCAAGCTCAATCCACGCCTACTTCGCAAACCTCTTCCGTTTGGAATTGGGAGAATTTATATCCTCCTCCTTCTCCTCCAGGCTCCGATTATTTCCGCCAACGCCAAACCAACAAACCACAAACGCCGAATTTCGAATCGTCGGAATCGGAATCTGAATCGATGTATAATCCATTTCGTTCGAACTCTCAACGCAATCACAAAATTGATAACACTACAAACGTCGCTTCACATTCACAACAACAAAACGCAGAACCAGATATTTACGAATCGGAACAGAAACACTTACATGAACCGATTCAAACGGAGCGCGAGGAGGTTCGGTGCAGCGATTGGGAGGACCGTTACAGTCCCTCGAGTTCGTCGGAGCAGGAGGAAGAAGGTGCCGGATTCTCCTCACAGTCTAAGACGGAGTATGTATCCGGAGGTCATGCTTCGGCGGCGAAGGTCAGCGATGACGTGGCGGAGCCGAAGGTGGCTGTGAGGCATAGGGATTTGAAGGAGATTGTGGAAGCGGTTAGGGAGAATTTCGAGAAAGCTGCAGTGGCCGGAGATCAGTTATCGGAGATGCTCGAGGTTAGCAGAGCGCACCTTGATCGGAGTTTCAACCAGTTGAGGAGTAAGGTTTTCGTGTTCTTCTAGCGGTGCTGCTGTTTGCATTCTCCCAAAGTGCGGGAACTTTATAAATTAATTCATTTTAATCACAAATTTAGTTTCATTTTTTAACAAACTCATAAAAATATATTTAATTTAACTATTCGTTTTATTCATTAATTATAAAACTTTATTTTTAAGTTTTTATATTTAAAAATGTCTCATGTTAATTCTTATAAACATAAAAAAGACTAAAATGAAATGGTTATAATTAAATGAATAATCAAATTAGTATATTTTATTATCTAGTAATATTTGTTAAAAATTACTAAATTTGTTGATATTTCTTCTTTTCGAATGTTATAAAAATTACAAAGTTTATGTTCTGCATCGTTAGTTTCCAAAAAGTTACCCTTTCACCTTCAGGAAAGTATCTTAAATTATTCATATACATAAATAAAGATCGAAATAACTAAATATGATACGCATGGGGTATAAATGTTTTTTTATTTTATTTATTGTTGTTGAAGCAAATGAGGAAGTGTTTATTTGAACATTGAATTTACAGAAACACTCTACCATTCAAATAGTATATTGAGCAAGCTGAGCTCGAGTTGGACCTCTAAACCGCCGTTGGTTGTTAAATACCGGCTCGACGCCGGTTCGTTGGACGGACCGGGCGGTTCGAAGAGTCTCTGCTCCACTCTGGAACGCCTTTTGGCTTGGGAAAATAAGCTGTATCACGAAGTGAAGGTAATTTTGTGATTTGTTCGGGGTACATTTGTCTTCTTGCAAATATAATTCATTTTTATTAATAAAAAATATTCTTGAACTTACGTGGATCTTCTTTATTCTTAAATATTTATATTATCATTTCTTATAGAAAAAATAGGTAATAGTTTTTCAAAATGCATAATTTATTCAATAAAACTTTGATGTGACAAAAAGCCTTGTCCAATGTTATTTTCCTTGGTGGTGATTGACCAAAATAGGCTCGGGAGTGGTGTAGTGGGTCCCATGGTACTTTGGATAATTATTATACTCGATGGATTCGGACGTGCCATTTCCTGTGTATTTGACTAATGGTACATTGTAACTGTTTGCGTGTTAAATGTCTATAATACCCCTACATCGCATGCTACCAACATCTCTCATTGGAGAAGTCCATTTTAGGTTCATTGAAAACTGTGATTAACTGGTTTATTTATAAAAAATTAATACAGTATTATTTTAATAAAAAAATAAAAAACGAACATTTTGATATACAGTTTAGAATAATTATTATAAAAAAATTACTTTTATTAAAAAGATATTTTAAATTTATTTCAAAAAGTTGAACATAAAATGTTCTTCAAGGAGGCAATAGTGTGTTAGGTTTTTTAGGTTGAAAATGAAAAATACTATGATATGCACTTCTGGTTCCGTTTTTTTTTTCCATTTGATAGATGGTGTTAAAAAAATTACTTTAATTATAAATGTTAAAATGTGTTAAAAAATTCAAAATGAACGGATGACTAAGGTTGCATAAGCCATTTTTTCAAATTTGGCCCCACATGTGATTCATACATAGTTCACACACAGTTGTGATGAATTATTGGTTGTCCATTATACTGATAGGATGTGAAAGAAGGGCAAAGACTTTCTGTTATACAATTATATATATAAATTGCCTGGCCAAAAATGGATAGAAAAAGCAATGTACCGAACGTGGATTTTGAATGTTTGGAATTTTCAATTTATGTAGTGTGTGTCTTTACTTAGGCTGTGTTCTACTGAACTGAAGTCAGGTGGCTATCTTGCATTTACTTTTATCGAAAATCATGCAGTTTTGGAACCTGTGTGCTGATGCATGGTACAACATTTTCCTTGCATTGCATGTTTAGGCAAGAGAAGGTGTGAAGATTGAGCATGAAAAGAAATTGTCAGCCCTGCAGAGTCTAGAGTGCAAAGGTGGTGATGAAGCAAAGCTGGATAAGACCAAGGCTTCCATAACAAGGTTGCAGTCATTGATTGTTGTCACATCTCAAGCTGTATCCACCACCTCAGCTGCCATCAATGGCCTTAGGGACACTGATCTTGTTCCTCAGCTTGTTGACCTCTGTCATGGGTATGTCTTCTCATTATGCAATTATTTTACTTTTTTTTATGCTCATCCTTGAAAGGACAATTAAACACCCTCTCCCTTTCAAAATACAGTACTATACTAATTACACTTTCAATATAGACCATTAATTAACAAGGACTAAGAGCTAAGGTGTTTGCCAGTCAACCAAGGCAATGAAGGCGTATGGGAGCACATTGAATTGGCATTTGTACTGCCATAATGAATGAACTTTAACAACTTCATTAATGAGTCTTTTATTAATGGGTAGCTTAGAAACACACTCACCATTATTATAAGAGAAATACTTATAATGAATGCACTTCTTTAACATGTTCTCACTTATTAATAGAAATTTGTTAGAAATTATAAAATTTTGTAGCTCCTACTCCTTAATTAGAGAACATCATGGTTTCCTAAATATATTTGAATGAAAGGGTGTGTTAGAAAGGGTGATGCCATTAATTGTCTAGAAGAGAAATTGCAAAATCATTTGAGGCTTATTTAAACTAGAAGTGGGATGTACACAATTTTGTGATTCTTCATAATAAAAGAGAGTGTGTTACTATTTTTCTTTTTCTTTTTCTTTTTTTCAATTTTGACCTAGTATTCGTCATATCTATTATGTGTCACACTGTGAATCATTTGAGACTCATGATCAAAGGCCTTTTAAATTATGTATTGCCATCTGTGTTGCAATAACTTTGAAACATGTGGCTTGCATTGCACATAGGATTCTTACTCAAGATTTTGTGTGTGAAAATAATCCAGAAGGTGTAAAGGAAGGAATTGTGAGCTATAACAACCCATTTGAAAGAACTTCTGTTTGAGAACCTCCTGAATCCTATTTCTTGTTCTATGTTTTTCAAACAGTATTCTTCAAAGGGTATTTAATTATTAATACACAACTCATCAAAATGTAAAACATGCTAGTGTGGTGGTTGAAGCATTATATATAGCTTACTGCTTTAGTACGTCACTTGCTTCATCAGGTCTGCGTAAGTGCATGTGCCTCTTCTTTGTACCAGACCGTCCAACTACTGCCTTGCAACTGTTAACACAATCTTGTCCCACTATTCTACCTGCCAAAGTCTTGTGCCTTTTTCAAATTTTAGGCCCCATATATTGTGAAATAGAACTTACGGATGGGTTAGGTATTTTAAAATAACTATTTGGATTATGGTAAGCCCTTATGAGGTTAACTGTTAATAAACTATTTGACACGGAACAAGGGAAAAACTATTTGGTTCTAATCAATCTTTATGTGATACATAATTAAATACTATTAATTATTTTATTGTAAACTTAAAAACTTAAAGGCATACCACTTAAAGATTGTTTGAAACCATGGATCAAATGATAATCCAATACCACATATTGTGAGCTGTTATAAAGAGTCAAACAACAATTATCTGCCTTTTGTTAATTACTATTTTCAAAAGATTAGTTAGGGCCAATTTTACAAAGATAAGTGAAATTGGAGGATTTTTCAAGGAAGAATGGTAGCATGATTCTTGATAAAGAATACTGGTTGTGATTGGATCATGTAGTTAAAATCCAAACTTCAGTAAAAGTTTGATAACCAAGTTGTTTAGGCATTTTTATAGGTTTGTGACCAGTGTTTGTAATGATACATATTACCCATCTCTACACATGTTTAATGCAAAAAAATAAAAATAAAAGAATCATAAAATATTTATTTGAAAATGTTGTCTTCTTTAGAAAAAGTAAAACGTTACTCTAGTTTTATAGGCTTTTTATATTAAGCTTTAAAACTAAGAAAAGTAAAACGTTACTCTAGTACTTGAATATATATATTAATATTATCACTTTACTTTTTTTAATAGTAGACTTGTGTGATTATTGATTTTCATTTTCAGGATTTTTTGTTTTTAATTTCCTTCAATCCAGGAACTAATGTGATAGCGTCCTACAAATTCAGAAACTAGTGATTGATTACTTCATAAAAAAAAACAATGACATTAAAGTGTTGTAAATCATAATATATAAACGCTGGATCAAAGATGGGGTTGTCCCTGCTCACAGACAGTTCTCTCATGTTTGTGATATAATCCTAAATGCAGAATCATGTATATGTGGAAGTCAATGCATCAGTACCATGAAATCCAAAGCAACATTGTGCAGCAAGTCCGTGGCCTTGTGAATCAATCATCCAAAGGTCACACAACGTCTGAATCACACAAGCAAGCAACAAGGGATCTTGAATCAGCTGTGTCAGCATGGCACTCCAGTTTCTGCCGTCTCATAAAGTTTCAACGTGACTTTATCCTTTCTCTGCATGGCTGGCTAAAGTTGAACCTTATTCCAGTCAACAATGACAACAACAATAACACTGAATCATCTCACGTTTTTTCCTTCTGTGATGAATGGAAACTTGCCCTTGACCGTGTTCCAGACACAGTTGCTTCAGAAGCAATCAAGAGCTTCATCAACGTTGTCCATGTGATATCTGTGAAGCAATCTGAGGAGCTGAAGATTAAGAAGAGAAGTGAGAGTGCCTCCAAGGAACTTGAGAAGAAATCTTCATCTCTGAGAAGCATAGAAAGGAAGTTTTACAACTCATATTCTATGGTAGGCATTACCCCTCCTGAGTCAGGGCCTGGTAATGGACAAGGCTTGGATGCAAGAGACCCTCTTGCTGAGAAGAAAGTAGAACTGGAATCCTACCAAAGGCATGTTGAAGATGAAATGATGAAGCATTCAAAAGCTGTTGAGGTGACTAGGGCTATGACACTCAACAATCTTCAGACTGGCTTGCCTGGAGTGTTCCAGGCAATGGCCAGTTTTTCTTCATTATTCGCTGAGGCCCTTGAGTCAGTATGTAGCCGTTCACATGCCATGCAGTAGGTCATTCATGGCCTTTTTGTTCCTACACGCCCACAATACCTTGTTTCGTTACGAAAAGATTAATCCAGAGTGTAAAACCTTCATTTTGAATTACTTAATAGGAAATTTACGAGTGGGTTTTTCGTATTGAATTACCAAATCCTAAATTTAGAAAGGTTATAGACTGAAATGGTTGGAGTGGAAAAAGCAATACTGATTTGATCTGCATGGGAACTGAAGTTTCCCTTTAAGGCTGGCTATTTTTTTGGTGCAGGCTCCTACTTTATTTTGAAATGTAAATATGAACAATTTTCTGATTCTATTTTTTATTATTTATTAATGAAAAATAATTTTTTTTAATAAAATATTATTATAACATATTTATCTTGGAACTAAATAAATTTATATATTTTTTATAAGCTAAATTAACTTATACACAAGTAAAAATTTAGAAAAATAAGAGTTTCTACAAATTAGTTATATATATATATATATATATATATATATATATATATATATATATATTATTTTAATTTATAAAGAAAATTGTTAATGCTTGTAAAGATATTGGTTTAAATATATTTTTATATTAAAATTATGCATTTATTAAACCATTTTTAATATAAATAATTCATATGAACTATTTTATTATTTATAATATTTTATTATTTAAAAAAATATAGATATATTAGAATAACTTGAAAATAAGTTATTAACAAAGGTTGATTAAAAATAGAAATAAATATTTTATTATTGGTGTCATTGTTTAAAATTAAATAAAATTATTTAAATTTAAAAAAAATATTTATATAAATAATGTTGATAATTTTTAAGAAACTCATTTATGATATTTTTAACAAAATATTTATTTTAATTTTTAAACAATTCTTGTTAATAAATATATACTTGATTTTGTTTCAATAAATGATGGAAATTTTTAAGTTGAACGTAAAAAAAAATTATAGTCAAATTTTTTTATTATAATTTATTTATAAAAAATATAATATATTTTAAATTTTTTTATTATTTTATATTAATTACGTTAACTTTAAATAATAATTATTTTATTATATTTTTATTTTATTTTAATAATTATTCATCTTACATTTTTTAATATATTTTATTTATTTTATGTTTTCTAATATATTTTATATTTATAATTTTTATTATAATATGATAATAATATTTCTTATAAAAAATAATAATACTAATAAATTTTATATATATTTATTATTTTATAAATATATTATTTTATTAAATTTGATTTCATCTATTCAACTTTTAAATCTTATTTCCATTTGTTCATGTTAATTACGTGAACATCTTGGAATTTGATGATATTGTACTAAACATCTTACAAATTTAATATAATATAGAAAGAAAGTTAGTATAATACTTTTTAAAAATAATTAAAGAAGGTAAATTTAGATTAAAAAACTAGAAAGAGTCTTTGTTGTCCCACAAAACCGCAGTGTAATCATTTTTTTTATAATACCCTTGTAAATATGATTAGATTTGATATTTCAAAAATTAAATTTTTTAATATTTTCAAAAATAAATTCTAAAATTAATTTTCAAGATATTAAAAGATATTTTTTAAAAATCTATTCAACTATTATATTTTCACAAAATATAAAATGTGTATTTAAATATACTTATAAATCCTTAATTTTATTTTAAGAAATAAAAACTTTCAAAATCAACTAATAATCAGATATCATCGATATTAATAAAAATCAAAATCTCCTAATAAATTTTTAAATTAATTATCTTTTTCTTTAATTTTATTCCAACTACCTCTTAAATTAATTTTTATTTATTTATTTTTATACAACATTTCTTTCTGTACTTATAAAAAGCTTAACATGTCCTCTTTCTTTTGAAAGGGGTATTTATTTTTAGAAATTTACTACTTACCACAAGATTTTATAGAATGAAAGAAGTTAAAACTCCCATTTTTTTTCTTTTTGTTGGTTTTATCTTTTATATATATATATATATATCACTTCTCATAAAAAAATTTATTAAATAGGCACATAATTTAATTGTTTACTCCTACGACTTTAATTATCAATAACTAAATACCATCATGCTCTAATGGATCAATTAATTCAAGAAAAAAATTTGGAATTACGTTTTATTTATTTACTTATTTGTGTGGACTTTATAGGGTTCGATTGAACTCATTATAAAATAAGATTCAATTATGTCTCCAATTTCACAATAAATTTAGTTTTGATTTCTCAATTTTTAAAAGAATTGACTTTTAGTGTCTCATATTTGAAAAAGTAGGTCTTTAAAATATAAATACTAAATTTAAAGGACTAAAATAATTTTTTTAATTCCTCAAATTTAAAATTTAAGGATTAAAATATAAATTAAAAAATAATATATCTCATGTTAAGAGGAGTCTGCAGATGAAAGAGAAGGTGAATACTTCCATTATTTGGAAACATTTTAAAATGAGGAAAATAAACTTGAAAAAACATCATTATTTCCCAATATTCATTTTTGTTTCATCTTCAAAAAAAAATTAGAATTGTTTCAATTTAAAAATGAAAAATCATCTCTTTTTATCCTTATGCTTCTACTCCATTCAAACTTACCTTGACGACAGTCTAGGTTGGTTACTGTAATATCATTGTCATCAACAAGCCCTGTTGCAGCTTTCAGAAACATCCATGTTTTCATGAAAGGATCATTGAGAGAAATAATGGGGCATGAACAAATTGTGAAAAGACTACATTATATTGACAAGTCCCTTTTCATCTCCAAGCAAAGAATCTATCACACATGCAGCACAAATGTTGTAGGGGGGACCAAAACCAAACCATGAAAAGTAGTGATTATATCATTAAAATGGAACACCTGTTATTTCAAATGTGGTCCTCATTTTGCTTTTGTGAATTTCTTGAACAATCTTCATTTAACATTCACTCAATGATTTCATACTTATATCTTGAATTTGTTGAGTTCTACACATGGGAAAATTAGAAGACTACAATGGAAATATATAAGAACAGAATGCATTTTAGATTCAAGGTTGTTTTTCACAATACAACATAATAATTGTGAAGGGGGATTTTGCAGGATAACATTTCTAGGTTTAAAATCATACTTTCTAGGGAAGATTAACTTGGAAAAAAAGAAAATAAGATGTTGCAACAAAATTGGCTACAGTGGAAGGCTAAAATACATCATTTAAATCAAATTTCAGAAAATGTGCAAAATAACTTTTACTCTTAACAAAGCATAAAAAGCTAGGTTTTACCAAATTAACAAAATGGGTCAAGGTAGCCCTTCTTGACCCCCCTTTAACTCACCAGATTTCTGCAGACTTCTAAATTCTCAAAATTGCTCTGAAATAGAGATTTGGAATATATCATTTGCATTATTTTTCTCAGCAAAGCAAACTCCAACTAGGGTACTAACTTAACACAGATGAAGAAAAGCAGTTAAGTGAATAAAATTTTACCGATTTACGAATATTCTTCCTAAAATACTCTTCTCCTAAAACAAAAACAAAAAGTACATATTATAGCGGTGTAACAATGTGTCAAGCTTAATTAACGTTAGGGTGTTTTAGGAAAAGAATAATTAAATGAAGTAAAAATAGTTAAAATTTGCATATATTTGAGAACCACATAAATGTAATTTTTTTTGCTTATAAATAAGAACGGAGGAAGTAATTGTCTAATTTTGCTTAAGGACAAAACACGCATACTGTAGGTACAGTTCATACTGTTCTCCCATTAAACTTGGAGATTCACCTTGGTTATATGTAATGCATTTAAAAAGATCCACATTACCAAATGAAACTACAAATTTAATTGGAAAACAGCACTAACTATACCTGTAGCACAATATATAACTTTTGTCCATGTCTTTAATTATTTAAAGATTAATATATGTTAGCTAATGCAGTAATAATGTTACATGAATATAATTCAGATGGCATGGATATTAGGAAATGGAACCAACAACCACTTCATTCTATGTTTTAACTGGCACAATGAAGGAACAGCACACAACAATGCATATGCTGCACCTGAATCCTGATAACATCAGAAATCTTGCCCAAAAATGTTAAAAACGGATTATAATTTTCAGGAGAAGTATTTAAATTCTGTATAGAAAACACTATATTATGGATTATCCATAAGAATTGTAGGATCAGACAAGGAGAACAGGAGAATAACCTAATCTAAACTTGAGGTATCATATTTCCAACTGAAATGGACTTGTACTACAGGGCAGGTAAGCTGAAATAACACGGTAATGCTGGGCAGCACCCATGAAAATGACTGAGAATGGAGAATACAATAAAAAGCAGATTGAGGAATCCAAACTAAAAGAACTCAAAGTCCAGATATTTACCCCCCGACTTCATGTTGTCAGTAGTAGTACCTACTGTCCTCTTACTAGTGCTGCCAACCCCAACAGTATTATCAACTGGTCCAACCTTCCCTGGTAGTTGTTCATTTTCCACTGGTCTCGGCACTTCTGGGGGCGTGCTGCACCTAATCAATGCCCAGTTCACCCCTTCAAAAAAGGGGTGCTGCTTGATCTCAGTTGCACCCCTTTTAAACCCTAGCCGATGCTGTGGCTCCTTCACTAGCAACCCCCGGATCAGATCCCTGCTGGCGTAACTGGTTGCAGGTGATTCCGGAAACCTGAGCTGTTGGCCTACTACATTGAAAAGTGTAGCGCGGTTTCCTGAACCTTTGAAAGGGGTTTTACCATATAATAGCTCATGCAAGAAAATTCCAAATGTCCACCAATCAACTGCACTTCCATGACCTTCTCCTTTGATAATTTCTGGGGCAAGGTACTCATGTGTGCCAACAAAGGACATAGACCGAGCTGCAGTAGGCTCCGCAACTAGCTCTGGAAGTGTGCTGGATGGCAGCCCAGGATCAACTCTTGGTTTCCTTAGCTTCTTGTTTTTCTGAGAAAATAACCGAGGAATAAAACATGCAGGTTGGATGCACACTGATGATGGCTCAATACATGCAGGTTGAACACAGAATGCACCACCAGCACGTTTGGAAGGGTCACTGTCATAGGATGATCTAATTAGAGTAGGTGACACAGCACATCTAAGGGAAAGATCAAAATCTGATAGCATTATGTGACCATCATCTCGGACCAACACATTTTCGGGTTTAAGGTCTCTATACACCACTCCAAGCATGTGAAGATATTCAAGAGCAAGCAGGACCTCCGCAGCATAAAACCTATATGTGGAGAAAATGACAATGTAAGTTATTATGATGATTGTGCGCCAAAAGAAAAATTCATTCAACTGCAAAGGCATGCTATGATAAACAACAAACACCACTGGTGTACACCAGAAACAACAAATTGTAAGGCTAAGCCTCAAAATATTATGCCTATAATTTTAAAGCAAGATGACATTGGTCCGTATAAAAATGCTACACAACCAGAAATACTCTTATAAGAGTGGCCACTTCTGCAAGAAACTTGTTACATACTTCCCTGAGTGGTAGGCAGATCCAGCACACAATGCTAGATAGACACATATGAGCATATTTCATTAAAAACATCTTAAGAGAACTCATGCAAACCAGATGCACTTAACCTAATCACATCTTTATTGCATCATTGATTATGAATCTGATGCATGAATCACTTAACATGGTTGAATGAAATGAGGCAACCGATTCAAAACTTCACAAAGATGTGGATAAAACAACCATACATAGAAGACCTATAAATAGCAGTTAATTGTTCTTAAATCCTTGTAGAGAGACTACAGTTCAAGGGAGGGAACTAGCCGTAGAAATCCAAGTAGTAAAGGAATCTAATGAAATATGTGACTAATGCAATTGCATAAGCCAAATTATTCTTCTATGTCAACAAATGCTAGACATGAAAGAAACAGGAAATAAAAAATAATGTTTCTCTAATTCATAACAATCAAGAAAAAATAGTACAGAACATTAGTTTCAAAGTATCTTTTTAGCATGTCATATATTAAGAACAATAAATCAAAAGGAAGTAAAAAAGATGATTAATTACGAATCCTTAATTCCCCTTTCTTTAGAAGAAATTAATTTTCTCAAACTCTCCAAAAGCAAAATATTAAGGAATAGCAACATATTATTATAGAAAATTATCATGATAGAAAGTAATTAACGACAAAGAACTTAGGTATATAAAAGCAACCATGTAAAACATAAACCATACCGTGCAGCATACTCTGAGAAATGTTTCCCAGGTTGTCGCTGCCTTAAAGTGTGCAGATCACCTCCTGGACAATATTCCATTACCAAACACGAGAATCTATCAGTCTCAAAATGTGTATACAAAGTTGGTAGAAATGGATGGTCCAGCAACTGCAATATCTCCCTCTCTGTCTGTGCTCTAGTCAGCTTCTTTCTGCTTGCAAGGGAAGCCTTATCCATAACTTTCATAGCAAAATAACACCGGGTTCCACTCAGTTCTGAAAGATACACACTTCCAATGTCGCCACATCCTAGACGTTTGAGTAACCTAAAATGACTCATGCCCAAAATTCCATCCCGTAATCTGATGGCAAGAATAGCCTTCCACCTAGGATCATTTCCTTTGTGAGGCTTATTGGCACTACCAGTAATGTTGCTCCAGTTGCTGTCATCGCTGAGGCCACTGCTATCACTTGCCCGGCTGGCACTAGTTTTAGCACTCTCCAGTGAATCCCCCCTTACACTCCCTTTAGTACTATCAAAGTTCCTGTCTAAACTAAGCATGCCATCACTAGTCATTGCATCACTCCGATATGTACTAGCACAACTATTAACAATGCTCATTGCGGTAACAACACCAGTACTATCAATACTACTAAGTGGACTGACATTGCCACTAGGAGGCAAAGAAGCATCCCAAACACATTCTTTTTCCTCAGCATCTGGTGGGAGTACAGAATTCTCGGTATGCTGTGATGCTCGAGGACCCAAAAATGCCAAGTTCCCTATGTCATTTAGTTCTTCAACCAGACTTTGTTCAGGGGAAAGAACAGCTGGGTTTGGTTTCTTTGCAGGAACACGAATGGAGAGATCTTCCAAGAAAGGGCCTTTTGTGGGCAAGTTCTTAATTAAGCAACTAGCCTCAGCTTTGTTTTGACCTATTGGTACATAAACCGTTCTCATTAGATCTGTATCAACAGGTTCTGGGGGATGACTAGCACCAGCAAATAAACTTGGACCACCATCCTCAAACGAATAGCTGCTTCCCTTCAATGTCTCAACATCAGGCACAAACTCTTCAGCTTCCGGTGAAGAGCCCTTTCCTTTCCATGTCATAGTGGGCTCAAAGGTGAGGGATTCCTCAGAGGATCGAGCATCAAATCCCATATCTTCTTGTACCAAATATATTCGTGCATTAGTTAACTGGGCCACTTCTCTGATTGAGGCCAGATGTGAAATAGGGCCATGCACATCCCTTGTTTTTGACAATTGATTCACTTCTCTAAGTGAAATTCCACCAGCACCAGAAACCTCCTGACGATTTAGTCTCTGACCTGACTCTCTTGATGAAGATGTGTGTGCTTTCGATACCTCAACAAGGATAGGCAAGTTCCGCGGAAGTAACTTCGGCTCAGCAACCCTCTCCATGTCCCAATATCACATAACATCACACAAGGACTTCCAGTTAACAAGCCCCTGTAAAGAAAACCACAAGTTCATTCAACAGCAGCTTCATTACTTCAACTTGAATTCCAATTCCAAATTCAACAAACAACTATTTACCAAGAAACAAGATGGTGAACCTAAGCAAGAAAAGTCTTAAACAAGTAATCAGAAGAACATAGAACTAAAACAACGATCGAATCAAACAATATTAATTTGCTATCTTTGAGTGAGGACAGCTAAAGGCACAACCAACAAAGAAATGCTACATATAGAAAGCCAATAGACAATGGTAATTGTTTGAAGCCTCACAATCAACAAGAAAAAGCTACTCAGAGTAAAAATTATAAAATGGTAGTAGAACTGTGGAATGTCATTGAGCTTCTTGGTGCTTGAAAACAAAAAAATTAGAAAGCCTCAAGATTCCAAACCCCTAAGAAGAAAAACCACCCCAACTTGAAATCAATAATGAGAGGCTAGCAGATCAGGAAACCACATAGTTTACTTGAAGCATCAAAACACTAACTCCATAAGTAAACAAAACCAACTTGAAAAAAAAAAAGTAAAATAAAATTGATATCTGTTTACAGAAACATGAATCCATAAAATCAAATTTCTTTACATATTAAAAAAAAAACACCACACATTTTTTTTCTATTTCTTTGACAAATGACAGTACCCACATAAACGCAAGAGTTGCAAGCCAATCTTCGTGAGACAAAAAGAGGAATCTATGCTCCAGAAAACAAAAGGGAAAAGAAGAAGAAACAAAACAAAGCAAAAGGGACAAAATACGAACCCAGCATTGAAATGAAGGAGAAAACTGTGTAATATTATTATAATGGGGTTTGTTTCCTTTGTTCCCACTGCTTCAAAGCCAATAACAACAACAACCAACACACCCTCTTCCTATTTCCTTCCACCACAAAACTCACACCAACTTTCTCTCTCTCCCTCCGAAGCTGAAAAATGGCCAAAATGAACAAAGAAAGAATTCCCTCTCACTATAGAAATGAGCTTCTCTCTCCCACTAAAGTGTTGCTGTAGCTGCTGGTGGTGATAGTTATGAACTGTGGGTACAAAGCTTTTGCTTTTTTTTTAAATCTTATTTTAGTTTTGGTTAAATTATTTTTTAATTATCACATAAATTATTACTAGTATATATTTTTAATTAAATATTTATACATTGTTAATTAAAATAATGTTTTATATAATTTTAAAATAATAATTTATATATCACGATTTTTATGGAAAAAAGGACCTAAAATCAAGTTTAAGTGAGCCGTTACAAGTTATTAGTGTATTATTGCTAAGGGTTTTTACTCTTCTATATACTATTTACTCTAATTTATTTTCTGAATATGATTTTCTGAAAAATCATTTTTAGGTTTTACTTTTTTTTATTTTCTTCTATCCATAAAAGCAATGATTGATGAATAGAAAATCTTAAATGATATATAAATTTCTCCAATATAATTGATTTCAGAATTAAAATAGAGAATTTTAAATAACTAAAATATTATTACAATAAAAACTTGTTTTTTCTTTTTTTACTATTATTTTTACTAAATATAGTATTGGTTAAGATAGAAAAAATAAGAGTGGGACCCACAGTGTTGGTTCTTTAAGGTACATTTCTTTTCTCTCTTTCTCTCTGTCATCAACGTCAAGCCGTTTTCCTTGATCGGCTTTTGGATTTCTCAAAAATGGCGCGTGCATTCCCACTCCTCCTGCAAGCGCGTGTGTCTCTTTTTCTTGTTTGTTGCGATGAACTGGAATATCCTACAATTGGAAGTGGATTCTGATTAGTGATTGCAGTCCATTATTTTTCAAAATTCAGTTTTCTTTTGGCCCACTTCATAGTAGAGAAATTAATAATTTTTTTATGTTTATACTAAAATTTAATTATTATATTCTTTATATAATAAAAATTATTGTTATAATTATTGTAAATTATCTTAAAAATTATAAATATAAAATAAATAATTATTAAAATAAGATAAAAATATAAAAAAATAATTATTATTTAAAATTGTCCTATGAAATAAAAAAATTAAAATATATTATATTTTTTATAAAAAATTATATTAAAAAATTTAATCTTAAATATTTTTTATTACTAAAATTGACCCAAAAATATCAGTTGGTTTTTTTCTAATTTTTTTCTATTTTATTCCGATTATGTAAAATAATGAATCGATTTCGGTTTATTGAACTGATGATGTGGTCCTATTTTCATAATAGCAAGAATAATCAAAATCTTATTAATTAATAGTTGTTTATCCTGTATAACCCCAAAGTATATTTAATCCCAAGAGTCATTAATAAGATTTTTCGAAACTTGGATTAATGACAAGCAAATATTTCTAATTTTATAAATAGAAAAAGATATTCTACTTTATGTTTAAACATAAAAAAGTACATGTATAAAAATTCTAAAATCATAATGGTATTGAGAAATGGCAAGGCGACATGCACTACAAAAACATAAAGAGAAATCTTAATTTGAATGAAGACATTTTTTTATGTATTTTAATTAGGACAAAAATTATCTCCAACTTTTTGTTTTCAATTATTCACTTCGATTATGTGTATTTTGTTTTTGTCTTTATTACGAAGAAGAAGAAAACTATAGAATGAGTTAAAGGCACAAAACCTGTTTCTTCAATTACACATTTTAATAATAGAATACTGTAACATGTTTATAATATATTCTTAAGTTAAAAAAATTATAAGTTAAAATTAATTTATATATGAATTTTTAAAATAATGATAAAGATTTCTATAAATTAATTTTAAAGCATATTAACAATTTTTTAATTTGAAATAGAAAAAAATAACATATATATATGGTTTTTTATTTTTAAAAGCATCCTCAATTTTATTTTTGTTTTTTAAAAATAAATTATTGATTAAATTACAATTTTAGTTTCCTTGAATTTTTAATTCAAAATTTTGTTCTTCTTTTAACAAGACGTAGATGTGCCACGGTAATAATTAAAAAAAAATTATTTTATGGATAAAATCTGTCAATGAAATAATATGAAAAATAGAATCAAAATTTTTGCTCAATTTATATATAGAATCCAGGAAAAAAAAATTGACCACATAGTCTATGTATATGCTGTTTCTGATAATATCCATAAATTATAATTATAAGAAGAAATAAAGAAAATTAATCTCAAATGCCATAAAGAAATTGACATAAAAAACATTGGAATTACAATAATTATGTATGCATTCTTATATCTGCATTGAAAAACTAAGTTAACGAACTACAGTTAATTGTAAAAGTATTAGTTATAATTAATCAATCAAATTTATTGGAGACTAGTCATATCTAAGTTACTAAATTTAATCAATTCAATTTTTTATTTATTTTATTAATCCAAATAGTATGTTTGATTGAATTTTTTAAGTTATTTAGTCTGAGTTTATTTATTTTAATAATATATACTTTAACACACACACATATATATATATATATATATATATATATATATATATATATATATATATATGTTAAAATTAATTTGTATAAATTAATATATAAAATAAAATTTCATATTAGTGTTAATTTCTTGATCACGAAAAACATAAAGATTTATTTCTCATAAATTATGTACAATATTAATTGTTGCAAACACTTAAAATTTTTCAAAAATATGGGTGAAACGTATTAATTAATTAATTATGTTAAATAGTTACATTTGATTATATTGAGTTGAGACATCTTTTATATTTATTATAAGTACATAAATAATCAGTTATTTTTAAATTGTAATTGATTATTATAATAAGTAATCATTTTAAGATATAATTCATTACTTTTAAATGTATGTTTTCGTAGATAATCAATCAAGATACATTTAATTTATTAAATTGTTTTTTTAAGTTTAAATATTTATTTAAAAAATAATATAATTAATTATCATAATAAACCAAGTCAAAAATATGTTTATAAATATCTCAAAAATATTTTTGAAAACAACAAACACTTTATAGAAACAATAAAAAAATGAAAACAAGAAAAAATTATATCATTTATTCTTATATATATATATATATATATATATATATATATATATATATATATATATATATATATTATTTAATTATTTGTGATATTCTTAGAATATGAGGGATGAAGAAATTTTTGTATCTTATACGTATATTTACAATTTTGATAATTTAATAAATATACTTATTTATATATTAATAATTTTGATATTCATTTTTTTTATAAATATTAAAAAAATTATTAAATATATTTGATAGAAATTTATTTTATAATCTTTTATTTTTATTATTTATTAATAATATATTATTATATTATTTGATCTAAAATTATTGTTGAAGATCACTTGCTAATATTGTATTTACGATATTATTGTTGCCAAGTTTCAAACAGAGCTCTAATATTTTTTTTTATTTTATATTAACGCATTCATCTAGATAATAAACAACCTAAAATTTACCTCATTATATACCTTTTAAAAGAAATGAGATTTTCCTTAATTTGTAAAGATAGAGATATTAGTTGTTAAAAAAATTGTTAAAAGATTTTACTTTTAAAATAAAAATAATTTAAATAAATATTTTTTTAAAATTTTATTTCTAAAAAATCATAATATCTTTGAACTTTAAATTATTTAGCATATCTCAAAAAAATGTTCCCATAATTTTTTATATTTTTTTTATATTCAAGCTCATTATTATATTTACACGAGAAAAATATTTTCATCTTATTAAAATCTTGAATAATGTAAGGGTTTTTTTGCCAATTTTTAAAGTATTTCTACAATTTAGAGCTAGAATTTACATTTTATGGGATAAAAATGAATTTTAATTAGCTTAAAAGTATTATGGTGTGTTTGATTTGTTAATTATATTTTTTTATGAGTAAGATTTGTCTTTTTCTCAGTTTAAGAGTTTTTAGACTATTTGAATCAAAGTTATAAAATGAAGTTAAGAGAAGTTAATAGTAAATTCATTAGCTTTTTAAGTTAAATGAACTAGATTGTGATGATGATTTGATCATATTGTTTAAATTATAGGAAGTTTATCGATGATATTATATTAGGAATTATGATTATATATGTTAAATATGTGTTGAAGGTTAGGATATGATAGTTATATCTAAGACTATATATGATATGTTTTATAAGAAAATTATGTAATAAAGTCTCCAATAATTATGTTTTATGTTTGAAAATTGATTTGACATGAGTTATTCAAGTTTATTATTTGTCTATTTCGTTCAAGCGACAACTTGTTACTCAAACAAAATATACAATAATGATAAAGGTTCCTTTTAGGAATATTTTTTTTTTCAAGTAAGAAAATTTTCACTCAAGCCATAGATGTATTTTGGCTCAAATAAAGGAATTTTTAACTCAAGTGAGAGGACACTTGGTTCTTAGAACAAAAATATGGTTTCTAGAGGATTTTAGCTTAAATGAAAACTTTTAGCTTAAATGAAAATTTTTAGTTTAAGCAAAAATTCTTTATTTTAAAAGCTTAAAAATAATGAAATTTTGAAATATAAAGTAATTTTTTTTATGTATTTGGTATATATATGACTTAGAATATTATATTATATGTTATGAATATATATTCATTTTCAATAGATAATATAATATATTAGTTACTTTAAAAGATAATTTTTTATTATATATAAAAATTGTCAACTTTTATTTTCTTCCAGTTTATTTAAAATAAAAATTAAGTTTAATTATGTCTTTACTTTTAATTTTGGTATTTGTACATTGTTTTCCTTCAAATAAAAGAATAAGCTCCTAGCATTATTGTGATACTTGTTAATTATTTATATGCTAAAAACAATCACTTATCAAATTTTAACTTAAAATTAATTGGCATTAAGCAAAATGGTCCAAAAAATATATAAAAACATACTGGAATAATTGAGACAGGCGATATCGAATTTTCCTCAATATCCTACATCAACTAAGGAAAACTAAGACATAAGCAATTTAAAATTCCCACTAACATTCCCCTCGACTAAGAAAATACTTATTATAATAGGTAAAACTAAAAAGGCTAGGATATATGTTAGATTTCAACTTAAAATTAATTGATTTTAAATCAAGTGACTCAACAAATATATAAATCATAACAAATCATAACCAAGAGTTGAGACAGATAATATGAGATTCTGAGTTTCTTTGTCACAATTTCCTAAATCTATTTACCACACTTGAATTTTTATGATTTTGATCTCTCACTACTATAAAATGTAAATATTGTAAAAAGATTTTTTTTATATACATTGATTGATTATAGTATAACTAATATGATATAATTTTTTTTTTCAATCAAAACTTGTCCTCTTCTGTGATGAAAAAATAGCCAAAATTAATATTGGCATCCTTCGTTCGTCGTTACTGAAACCCTCCTCATCAAACAACGATGAATCAAAGTATCCTTTGTTAGGCAACATCAAACCATATATCTCATGGCTCCATCAAGTAACCATCCAACAGATCTAAAAATACCACAAAGAAATTGAAAATCAACCTCACATACTGGGTGATTGCAACAAAGAAAGGAAGAGGAAAGATAAAATGCGATGGTAGTTGCAAGAGAAGGTTGTTGGGAGAGATTATTCATGGTGGTGACATGGCTGTGAGAAAATAAGAAAGAAAAAAAAATGAAAATAAGCAAAGTAATAGATCTCTTAAGCTTCTATTCTAAAAACTACAAATATATTATGGGAAAAGCAAAAAAGATTTTTGGACCATAGAATACAATAATTCAGTGCATGGTTCCAACGGATCCTGTTTCTTTTTGCGGGATGAAATGTCAGAAATATCCTTGCAAAATGGACAAACATTGACCGTACGATGGCGCGGGAGACATTGAACAGGAAGTAGCGCATGCGCGTGCATGGTGGCCTCCGTGAACTGGCAGCGCACCAGATTTTGCAGTGAACAATAATTCATAAAAACAAAACCAAACGGAACTTAACAGGGACCCATCAGAGACTCTACAGTGTTCCTCCCCAAACACGGGTCCCATGCCCTCTGCCTGTGGTCTTCCCTCTTCACTTCACATTAATATTTTTTGTTTATATTATATAATATTTCAAAATAATAATTCATAGTAATAATTAACTAATACAAAATAAATAATATAAATTAAAAATAAATCTCTAATGAAAAATAATAAATATAATAGTCTCATTTCAATTTCTTAAAAAATAAATAAAATTGATGATTTAAAAATTTATTTAATGATTTAAATTATTTATTTTAAAACGTAATATTTTAGTCTCATATTTATAACAGTAATATAATTAGGATGAATTATTATATGTGAATTATTATTCGTTTTAATACTTTAATTTATTATAATTTTAAGAATATATATATATATATATATATTATTTTTAAATTTTTTAGAATGAAAAATGAAATGAGGAGTTGAAAAATGTGAAAAAAATGATAGAAATTAAAATTGTTTGGGTAAAAATAAACGAGTGGAAAGTTAAATTTATTTATTTATTATTAATATTTTTTAATTATTTATGATTATAATAAAAAGTATATATTATTAAAAGTTGTAAGACATTAATAATTATATGCATAATCGATTATATTTAATGATATAATCGATGTAAAAAATTATCTTTTATTTTTTTTATATTAAAATACGCAAAATTATGGCGATTTTTTCTAATCTATGCTTCGATGTTTGAAAATAAGCTCGAGTCTTAAACAATATCGACCTTATGAACGTACAGGGGAGATAAATATGTTTTCAATCATGCATTCGTTCCCTGAGGAATTTGACACTGCGTTCTCCATGGATCCATGGATGCTATCTGGGACACAAGAACATTAGGTACACAGATTAATTGACTCTTCAATCATGTCTACCAAACCTAATACATTCTCTTTATAGTTTAAATTTTGGAAAGAAAGTAAATGATGTTAGGGTTTAAATAAAATATTAGTTTTTGAATTAAGAAAGAGTCATGTCATATGATAAATATTTTTTTTCTTTATCAATCAATTTATAAAAATAGATGAATTAAATAAATAAAGAAATAGAATAAGAGAGAATAAGTTTTTAAAAATTTATTAAAAAAACTTTTAATAAAATAAAATTAATAATGAGTTACTTGATGTGTGATTATACCTTATTTTATATTTGTTAAAGTAAGAAATAATTTATGCAAGTTGTTACAATTTTGGACATGCATTAATTTTATTTATATTTTTAATTTGATTATAATTTTTTAATTTGATCTTATATTAGAATAATGAATAAAGGAAATATTTTTTATTTAATTAAAAAAATATTAACATATTTATATTGAAATAATTAATTATAAAAATATTTAAATTAAAATTGAAAATAGATTTTTAAAATTAAAATGATATTAATAAAATTAATTATTATTTAAAATATAATTATTTAATATATAAATTAAAAAAAGATTTATTTAATCTCAAAATAAAAAATAAAATTTACTCTTTATTATTATAATTTATTTTTTAATAATTTAATATTCTAAATAATAATTCATGTTAACTATTAAATATAAAAATATTTTTTTAAAACTTACTCTTTTAAATATATCTCTTATCAAATTAATTTATATAAGTAAACTATTATTTTACTTTTATTTAAAAATTGATTATTATTCTAAAAAACTATGCTTAATCTATGATCTAAACATTATTTAAATTCAATTTAAGTCAAATAATTTTATTATGGATTCTTTTGAATAGTTGAGATTCAAACTTTTATTATAAAATAATGACATATATTTATATGTTTTTATTAAATATTTTATATCAATAACATGATATAAACATGATTTTTGTTTATTCAATTATTAAATTATACCTTCATATTAAATTTGGTTAAGATTAAACAATAATAACAGTGTTATCAAATTACTTATATTTTTAACATATTTTGAATTTTTTTATCAAATTATTATCCATTAAAGAGAGAGTATTCAAGAGAAGAAAATTTATAAAAAAGGAGATATAATTATTATATGAACATACATAATGCTTGACGATCATTTTAAAAATTGAGTTAATTGTTTGAAATAGATATGTAATTAAAGTTATCTTATGCAACATTATAATCAATGGTTAACAAAAATCCTTTTTTAAAACTCAAGACGAAGTAAACTTTTTTTAAGATAATAATAAAAGTCAATATATTTACCCTACGTGATAGTTTATGATTTAAGAACATTATAAAACATTTTATATTGTTAATATGTTACTGTTAGTGGCAAATCGAGGAAAGTGATCGAAATCGAAGGAAAGAGATGCGACTCGATAAGATTCATTCGACGTCTAATTAGAAATACGTAGCATACAACATCGAGGAGCACAATCGAGAATCGAATGAATAATAATCAAATGACTGTTGTCGAATAAAAACTAAGTCATATAAGACCAGGGTTAAAAAGGAATTGTAAGCAATTCAAAGTTCTCGAAAAATACCGAATCGAGAGTAAAGAAAGCCAACGTGGACATCGAGACTTTGGCCAAATCGTGAAAGGAAGACGAATGCACGTATAAAGAGCAGTTGTGAAATCATGGGAAAAAGTCGGAGATCGTGAGAACGTGGGAAACTACAGAAGATAAAACTGCCATACGCACGTAGAACATGGTAGCAGTCGTGTTAACTGCTCTCGGAAGGCTTGAAGGATGCCCTATAAATAGAGCAAAGGAGGAAGGAACAAAGGGGGAGCAAAAAATTGGCGAGAGAACGAGAATCGGTAGTGAGAAGTCTACCGGAAAATGACGAACACCATGAAGCTTACGGCAATCTGGATTTCAATGCTCACGGAGTACCTTTACCGCTTTCGTATTTTCCTTGGTAATTTATTTTGATGCAATTTATATTCAGCAATTTTATGTTTACGTATTTTCGATTCTTGGTCTTTTCGATTTAATGCAAGTTAAGCCTCCATATTTAAATTCCCTGGTCATTTTACATTAATGCAATTTTGATTTCCAGTCATCTATTGTACCTTTGATTTACTTGTCCTTTACATTTCCTGCAAATTCGATTTCTCGTTATTCACGTCGCTGCTATTTCGATTCCATGTCTTTTACACTTAGTAAATTTAAGATTCTCGTAATTTACATTTCTTTGCAATCTGAGTTTCAGCACTGTCTTTCGATTCCATACATTTCCCGTTTTCTTTACTTCGAGTATTCTTAATACAAAACACCAAAAATAGTACCTTTGAAATCGGATAAAATTTGATCCTCATACACATTTCGATTGAAAATTAATTTGCTAGCCTAAGCAAAAAGAACTTACGTGGTAGAATTTTGATTAGGATCAAAATATCTTACAAGTTGAAATCGATCAAAATTCCACCAGAAACAAATTGGCGCGCCAGGTAGGGGGAGTCTTGTGTTGAGAAACACAACATTGGTTAGTTCGAGATTGTATGAGATTAAGGAGTGAGAGAGTCATGAGTCAGAGTTCATCAAATAATCAGGGTAACAGTGAGGGATTAAATGGGTCACACCCAAATACTGGGGGGCAAAGTCATAATGATAACATACATGTAATATCGACAACTGTGAGCATGTCGATACCTGTGAGTAGTGAACAAAATTCAGGTACATTAGCAAACACCCAAGTAGGATCTAGTACAGTGATACCAAATAATATGCAAACTATAGGAAATCCCACAACTACATATGTAGGGCCACGTATGAGTGTAAGACCGCCCGGGTTTCACTTAATAATGTGAGTGGGGTCGGAACTTCTTCAATGCATAGGAATTCGAGGTATACTTTAGGAATGTCCCAAACACTAGGTATGCCACAAAATTTTGGAATCCCTCCGAATTTAGGGACGTCGCAAAATTTAGTAATTCCCGAATACAAGGAATGGACAGAATGTAGGCACACAACGAGATACCTCCAAATCTAGATCGGAGGGGATACTTAGATCATGGGAGACATGTATTCGATAGAGACTATCATCGATCTAATTTTGATTCTATCGAAAATATGGGTACCGGAATATCTAGTAATTCGTTAGGGGTACTTAGACAACAAATGGATGAGAGTAATTTTGAAATGGTGAATATGTTATCACAACAATTGACTACGAGTCTTAAATCCATTAGTGCAAAACACTCATCGCTAGCTTTGAGATATTAGCAGACCAAATGTCACGAATTGGGGATGCATTGGTCGTGCCTCGACAAACGAGGATAGAAAATCATGCTAACCAAAATACTAATATTAATCCCCCATATCTATTGAGAAAAAATAGAAACAATGATCAACAGCAGCGTATGGGACATGAGTATCAACATGTGAGGAATGATATTTATGGGAATTTGAACGAAGGATTTCAAAATATACACAATCAGAATAATATGTTGGGACAAAGGATGAATTTACAAGGGATGGAATTTAGACCACCTAATCAGATATATTTTGTGTCTCCCTTTCCGAATGCGATTCTCGAGACAGAATTGCCTCGAGGGTATAAAGTACCCAAATTCACTAAATTTGCTGGAGAAGTTGGTGAATCGACTATCGAGCATGTAGCTCGATATCAGATCGAATGTGGAGACCTAGCGATGAGTGAGGAATTGAAAATGAAATATTTCCCAAGTTCTTTGACTAAGAATGCTTTTACTTGGTTCACGTCATTGCCACCCAATTCAATATATGATTGGCTACAATTGGAAAGAAATTTTCATGAACAGTTCTTCAGAGGAGAAACTCAAGTGAGTCTCATCGACTTGATGAATATAAAAAGATACAATCATGAAAACATAGATGATTATTTGAATCGATTTAGACAAATGAAATCGAGATGTTTCACTCAAATTCCTGAATATGAATTAGTCAGAATGGCTTCTGCAGGTTTAGAATTCTCGATTAGGAAAAAACTAGTCAATTTACCATTGAATGACATGACTCAATTAGCTGATAAAGTGAGAAGAATAGAACAAATCGAGTATGAGAAACAAAGGTATAAGAAATATGAGAAACCTCTAAAAAAGGAAA